TCATTGCACAACACGAGACTAATAGCCAACAATATAGAGTTAAATATTACAATTACACAGAAAATTCGAATTTTCTACAAAACGTTTGTTGTCAAAACTAAGAGCCAATCATCTCTTTGATCATACGAAAGAAGGCATCTCAAACAGGCCTAATGTGTATATTGTCCTGGCCAGACAGGTTCAACAGCAGGGTCACATTAAAATCATACTTATCTCTCTAAAGTCGAGAAGGTTGTCGATCAGCACTAAAGGAAGGTATATCCAGTATCAAAATAATCTAATCTGATTCTCGAGTTGCAACTCCGTCTCATTATCCCTCCAAAAAAAGACGGTAGCTGCAAGCGACATCTCCTTCTGCAAACACGCCTTTTCCACTGCAAACATGTTTTGACTCGTCATAGCAGGAAGAGCACAGGTGTTACTGATAACAGTAATGATGTCTCAGTGTTATTTAAGCCGCCCATTAAGTCATGGCAGAGTGAAAGTGACCCTGAACCCGGAGCGGCTGGTCAAAATTCCTTCTGTGGAAAATGGCTATTAAATGCTCACATTTACATTAGTCTATATCAAGGACCACCAGGGACATGTCTCACACAGGAGAGGCACAAACTGGGGTTAGTTTGATCTGCACACAGCCAGGCTGTCCTTAGAGCAGGTCTAATCAGCCAAAGGTAGAAAAAAAAACGTGTGTACGATGTGTGTGTAGGCACTTTAATCAAGTTGTCCTCCACACCAGTCATATCCCTCCACCTCAGGAGTCCCTAACCTTTTCCTTCATAGTAAAATATTCTGTTGTAATCAGAAACCATCAGACAGTTCTCCAAGAAAGAAGGGAAAGACAGTTTGATTTACTCCTTGTATTTACTGAGGCTTTTACTGAGGCTTTTTGGACAATATGATTAATGATGTTACTCTGTTGCTGGAGTGATGATTATTATTTGCAGATCTATGGGATGATATCAGCTGTCAGTTGCAGTCAAAAACATCATTGCACTTCTTCCTCAGGCAGATGGATCAAATCAACTAAGTAGTTAAAATACTACAAACTGCTTCAGACTCTATTGACACAGGCGGGCGTGACATGAGTATTTCCCAAAAGCAATTAAACTGCTGAAGCTCAATAAGGACGTTCAATCGGCAAACGTTGCCAGGAAACAATTTCAGTGGCAGCCTCCATGCCTGATATTGCTTAGCAACTACATGCGTTTGTAGGATGTTAAAACTGAACCTCAAAGTGCGCCTTTAAAAAGACTGTGTTACCTTGATTCCAGATGGGATAATCATGTGGAAATACTACACATACACAAAAAACAGGTACATACACATACTGGACATCAGTTGATAACAATATTTTACAGAGACTATTTTCTGTATCTGCTTGTAGAAGCTTTTTTTTTTATTGGCTACACCATAACATCACTTCCAACTATTCTAGATGTCTTCTGCATCATTTTCTATATTACAAGCAACTCCCCATGATGCACCTCTCCTGAAGATGGACCAAATACTGTGTCAGTGTCAGGGTCTAAAGCCACATTTTCACAAATCCAACTCATTCACAGACACATGTATTTTCTATTTAAATATATTAGCTTTTGTTTTTGTTTTAAGTGTATTGTTTGATGCTCCTGAATTAAGGCCATGCTTTGACATATCTTCACATGAATATGATTAAGATTAAGATATAGCTATGCAATTAGAACAAATGTCTGTGTACAACTTTCTATTTACTCCTTATTGGGCATTTGATACCTATTAAATAGTCCTCGTATGACTGCACTAACAATGCCATATTGTTGAACATTAAGATTTTTATCCTACAAACAAGTCATTTCAGCGTCATTTTGCGATTGAATTTGGCATTAATTACAGTTTAGCACCTCTTGTTGACACATTGCAAATCACGAACTCTCACTGATACACTGCCATCCTGTGATCTTACAGGCTGTGCTAAAACATGATGGATTCCAACGAAACCTTTACCAGGTCCAGGCAGTCAGGAGAGATTTGAGGCTTACCAGGACTCCGGGATTTAATCACTGCCTTACTGTACAGAAGCTCTCAGCTGTGGGGCATCCCTGCGAATCCGTGGGCTAAGTTGAATACCATGTACTTGTGATGTTGTGGGCTCAAATCTGACTCCTGGTCTGTCCCCCCCCCTCCCTCCCCCCTTTCTCTATTTGTCATCTTCCCTGCCACCATTCTGCATGCAATCTAATGAAGCAGAAACAAATCCCACAGCTTTATACCTGCAGTAGACAGAGCTGTGAAGATGAGATGTTTCCTCCTACGCAGGCAGGCAGACAGGCAGTAGCTCGAGAGACCCGAACACCTCCAACTGTATATGTTATGGAACATCTGATTAATTCTCACTGATATCGAGTCTGAAGCCTCCATCTGAGCCGTTAGCTACACTGATGGATTCATATCTGCAGCGAGGATCTGCATTCATAGTGTGGTAGTGTGATATCAGACCCGTAGTCACTGTGCGGCTTCATAACAAAATCAACTGTATATACAGAATCTCTTTAGTTTACCTATGACACATTCTGAAACCTGTTAGGCTGCCGTGTTAGTCAGTTCTCCGCCAGTTGACAAGATGGAGCAGAGTTTCATGAGCAGAGTGAGTCAGTTACATCAAGATTGTTGGAAGGAAAATGTCTCCATTGAGGAGGAGTGCGTAATCACAGGGAGAGAAAGCACGCCATCTTCTTCAAAAACACATTAGAAACAAGTCAGTTCCATTTATTGACTATCTATATCATGTTTTTGTTTGATTTTATTGTTTAGATATGTAATAAAATATAAGATTTTCAAGGGTTTTGATGGTAAAATAGTTTGCTTTTTGGGAAGCATACATTTCTGTTTTAATCAGGAATAAGCTAGGCTTATGTTTGACTCAACATTTTTTAATTCCCCATAGACGTTTTGGACTAGCTACCAACCAAACTGGTTAAAAAAAATTTTTCAAAGCCGTCTCTACACTGCCAGGTAATTCTGGTGGATAAATACCTAATCCTTTATATTGTCTGTGTTTACTTTTTAAAAACAGATAATCAAAAGATAGAAAAATAATCCAAAACTAATTATATTTTGGATTGAATTATCAGTACCTTCCTAAATCTGTGATACTATTTAGGAGACACATAATGATTATATTTTACAGAAGTACAAAAACACACCTGTGAGTGTGCATTTGTAACTTTCTATGAGGTCTCAAACTTGTTCCCTACAGGATACCTCAGCACTAAATCTCATTTTCAAATATCGGGTCTCGGAAAAAATGATCTGCGGGTCAGCTTTTCTTTCTGTAGCCCAACACCAATCTCACAAAACCCAACAGGAGAAGACAAACAAACAAAAAAAACATTTCCTGCAGATGAAACTTTTTCACACCTGATTTAAAAACAGCCTAAGAGTTTGAGGGTCCTCAGGTGGCCGGAGAGAAACTTCTCTGCGGGAGAGCAGCCGAGCAGAAAGCCATGTCCCCTGATTGTACACAGCTGAGTCCTGTGGGCACGGAGGAGCCTGCTGTCGCCTGACCCAGGGTGACTAATGGAGGTTTTAGGGAGTCCTGGTGGCACACAGGGCTGGCCCGAATGCCATTTCACTGACGGCCATTTGAACCCAACGCGTGGCCTTTGCCTCACTGTCTCTTTTTATGCTCTTTACAAATTGCAACACAGACATGGGGCATCAAAAGAGTTTTTCACCTGCCCACTTGTTAACTCACACACCTGTCCACACTAATGAAATTCTTAAAATCCTCCAGACTACTCCACTGGAAGCATACAGCCTCTACGTCTTTCCAGGTTAGAGAACAGACAGCTACACTCCTCAAAACGACAGTAGCAGTGAAGCTTTTCTGGACTAGCGTGATGCTGCACAGCCCTGATACAGGGGTATAGATGGAGCATTATGTAATTAATACTCCTCCTCCTATGCAGATACAGTAGGCAAGCCTAGAAATCCTCAGCTGTAAATGTAGCCCCAAAATGAATGACACAGCTCATATGTACGGTGTCATTTTGAATCACTCTGGCTCCTATATTACCGTATAGACAATCAGCTCTTGACTCAGCTAAAGTCTTTAAAACAGGCATCCGATGTAATACACAGCAACACCAAAACCTCCTCTATAGCCACGCAGCATGCAGAAAATCTTTCTCTCTCTCTCTGTCTGTCTAACCCGCACATTTATATATAACATACAGCCCAAAGAAAACCCCTGTTTACCTGCTATCCCATAATTCACAGTGCTGGCTTGGACAGGTGACTGGTGCAGCCAAGACAGCCAGAGAAAAGTGGTGAGGGGCTTCTCTTACCAACAAATCCCCCTTCTTCAGCTGGCTTCTTCCAGCGCTCCAGCTTTCATCTTTCCAGTAAAGAGAGCGGGAGGAAGACAGCGAAGGACTTTAAACAATTAGCATTCCTCCTGCGCTTGTGTTTTTCTCTCCGTCTCTTCCTCTCTCCCAGATTTCTCCACAGTGTCCGGGGGGGAGCAGGAGCATCAGTGATACACTGCTGTGCGCTCCGCTGCAGGAGGCTGAACGTCAATCACGCAGGTAACCTAGGGAACCGCTGGGCCCGCCTCCTCCCCCCCCCCCCC